AGGTGGCTCAGTGGTAGAGTGCTTGTCTTGCATGCATGGGTTCGATCCTTAGCACCACATAAGCAGAAAAAGCCAGAAGAGGCACTATAACTTGAGTGGTAGAGCACTAGCCTTGAGCTGAAGAGGTGAGGGAGAGCGTTCAGGCCGCATGACTGGAAAAAAAAAATTCTTCTCCGAAGTGGAACCCTCTTGGCTTACCTACAGCTAAACATCTGCATTCAATGAATGGCCTCTCTCACCTAAAGGCTTTTCAACACTGGGTGGAGAAATCCCTCCACACACAAAAGGCACCAGGATGGCTATAAGAAGTCACTTAGACCCATCCTCTATACTTCACTTGGACTCACCACACACAGCTTATTTATACTGCTAGAACAAAGAAAACCATGCCTCAGTCTTCACCTTTGCCAAGCCCCAGATCCTTCCCCCAATAAAGCAAGGGAAAAAGTAGGTTAAGAACTGTCAGATCTTTCCAAATTCCTTTAATTGCAGCTTATTTTTAAGTGCTGCTCCCAATGAACACTAGGATCTGAACAATTAAGACAGGTTCCCTGAGCTGGGAATGTGGCTTAGTGGTAGAGTGCTTGCCTACCACGCATGAAGTCCTGGGTTCAATTCCTCAGTACCACATAAAGAGAAAAGGCCGGAAGTGGTGCTGTGGCTCAAGTGGTAGAGTGCAAAAAGGAGCTCAGGGACAGTGCCCAGGCCCTGAGTTCAAGCCCCAGGACTGGAAAAAAAAAGATTGCCCCCCCCCCTCCCGCCCTTGAGTTGCTCTAAGAAGAAACAAGACTCTCTAAGAACAAACAGCTTGGGCTGGAGGAGATAGTGCTCCCTTACACTCGTTAGCTGCCTCCTCCTCCTTTCTTCCTTCAGGCTCATCTGTCACAAGAGCAGAAAGGATAAGGAGTAAGTCCTTCCAGTACCTCAAGTACCAGAACCACATATCCAGCCACATGTCAGCCAAACAGTCCATACCATTTGCAGAGCACCTGCTGAAATAATTCTATATGGCAACACAAAGGTCCTAGTACTACCAGGTGTTATCTCAGGGCCCCACAACACTTTCAGAAATATAAAGCTTAGGGCAGAGAATCCTGGGCCAGCCAGACTATATACACACTAGGGAAACGAAGGCCTAGAGAAGATATGGAATTTATCTTGTCACCCTTCTAGTCCATCTCATTTTTACCAAATCATACCCTTAGAACACTTGCCCAACTCTGATCACTACACATCAAAATAGACACAGAAAAACCAAAGCAAGACAAAAATTAATTAATTAATAAAAAGAAATGATTAGCCTGGTGCCGGTGGCTCACACCTGTAATCCTAGCTACTCAGGAGGCTGAGATCTAGTGACAGTAATTCAAAGCCAGCCCTTATAAAAAGTCTCTCACAAACTACATGCTGGTGGCTCACACCTATAATCCTAGCTACTTAGCATATTGAGATCTGAAGGATCAGGACTCTGAAGCCAGTCTAGACAGGAAAGCCCATTTTATCTCCAATTAACCACCAAAAAAAAGCAGGAAGTGGAGCTGTGGCTCAAAATGGTAGAGTGCTATCTTTGAGCAAAAAAGCTCAGAGACAGTAAAATACCAATACTGGATGCCATCTTGGCATCTTAATAGAAGTCAATAGAAGCTGGGGACTTTCTGAGAAATCTAGAGGTGAGAGAAGACATTCTTTGGATTGAAAATGTGTCATGAGTTGTTAAGCTCCAGGAAGACTCCTAGATAATGGGTCCCAATTGCCCCTGATTGTTCCCCTGGATAGTTTCCTTTACTTATGTGTAACAAATTGGTTAGGATAGTTTCCTTTACTTATGTGTAACAAATTGGTTAGGAAAGTATCCTCATCGAGTTTGCTCTGGCCTACATATAAACCTAAACTACTTATAAACCTAAACCTAATTTCTTACTCTGGTTATGTGGTTTCTGCCTTTATAAGCTTTGTCATAACTGCATTTGAAGCTGCAAGTCTTTGAGACAGGAGTCCATCTGCAGTTGCCAGCTTTCTAATAAAGACTCCCAATTCGGCCTCTGAAAATGTGGCTTCTCTGTGTCTCAAAAATGAATTCCAGTATAACAGTGGCCAGGCCCTGAGTTCAAGCCCCATCACACACACACACACACACACACACATACACACACACACACACAAACAGTGGCCAGGCCCTGAGTTCAAGCCCCATCACACATACACACACACACACACATACACACACACACACAAACAGTGGCCAGGCCCTGAGTTCAAGCCCCATCTCTCACACACACACACACACACACACTCACACACACACACACATATAACAGTGGCCAGGCCCTGAGTTCAAGCCCCATCTCACACACACACACACACACACACACACACACACACACACACACAAAGTTTCTCACAGAATAATCTTCTATAACCACCAAAAAGCCAGAGGTGGAGATGTGGCTCAACTGTCTTGAGCAAAAAAGCCAAGCAAGAGTCCAAGGCCCAAAGTTTGTCCCCCAGTACCTCAGTGAAACAAAACAAAAAAGAAGAGATGATGCTTCTCTAGCCCAATGACCAAGAAATCCATGATAGCCACTAAGCTATATCCTTGCTGGAAACCCTTTCTGATGACCCATGCCCAACCAAAATGCACCGTGAAGCTCTGAGGCAGTCTTTTTCATCTTTTTCATCTCATTCACTTCCCACATCTCTCTGTCACATAAAGTCTACTACCAGCATTAATCCCCTTTTCCAAATCCCTAGAACTTCCCAAGGCCTGTCTTTGCTAACAACATAGTTTCCACTTAGAAAGCATTCACTTTTTCAATGCCTGCTGAAAAATCCCACCCATCCTTAGGGACTCAGGAAGGGAAGGCTGAGGGAACAATAGGGCAGTCAACCTGCTAAAAGCAAAGATAGAGCTTTCACCATCTTCACGTAGAGCCAACAAGGAAGTTGCTACTTTGCAAAAGGTAGATATAATTCCTGGAACACCTCCCAGCTCTGAAGCCAGAGAAATCAGTTGTGACATGATAAACCAGGAACATTTTAATCCCAGCTTTGTTTTAGCAGGGAGATTGCTGCCTCAAGAAGGGTCAGCTGCAGCTTGCCAGATAACAGGGCTGGTGGCTCATGCCTATAATTCTAGTTCCTCAGGAGGCTGAGATCTGATGATGGACACCAGCCTGGATTAGAAAAAGACATGAGCCTCTCAGCTTCAACTGTCAAAAATTCAAAAGTGGAGATGTAGCTCCAGTGCTGGAGCACCAAACTTGACAAAGAAGCAGGAGGTACAAGCTCCAGTATAGGCCCCAGTACAGTGGGAAAAAAAAAAAAAGACATGCTTTCTTTCCCTGGCCCACCCCTGAGCCAAGTAGGCACAGAAATGTTGCTGGCTTCCTCTTAGCCAAGCTTTAAACTTAGCACTTCCAGGAGTCAGCAGCAGACACTGGTCTCTGACTTGTCCAGCTCACTTGTCCAGCTCACTGTTTGGAGTCAGCAGAACTGTGTGTCCCAATGAGGACTCAGCCAGCCAGAAGCTCATCAAAGTCTCACAGTCCTAAGAATGGGGGACACACGTCATTGTCCCTTTGGGACTACCTCAGATGTATTCAGGAACACTATGTGACCACCTTGCCCTGGAAACATTGGGATCTGGTGTTTCTCTGGGAGCAAAATCATGAAACCTGTCTCTCCACACACATTCTGGGTCATCTATCTTAAGCCAGAATCTGAGCAACTATTTCATCAGCTTGTGTTCCTTGTTTAGATAAACCTTCTTGACTCTGCCTTCTGAATTCTACCCACATTTCAACTCTGTATCTAGCTAGACTTGGTGGTACATGTCTGTAAGCCTGTGATCCCAGAGCTCAGAGGCTTTAGTGGGAGGTCTGCAAGTTCAAGGCTAGGCTGGGTAACACAGGGCACTCCAGGCCAATATGAGCTACATAGTAAGACTCTTATCTCTAAAACAAACAGACGTGCCAGGTGCTGGTGGTTCATACCTGTAATTCTCCCTTCTCAGGAGACAGCCCTGGAGGATCTCAGTTCAAGGCTAACCCAAAGACTCTATCTCCAAATAACAGGCAAAATGTTCAATGGGAGGCTTGGCTCAAGTGGTAATGTACCACTCTTGCCAAGCAAGAGCTCCAGGCTCTGAGTTCAAGCTCCAGTAAAGTTCAAGCCTCATCTACAAGTGCATGTCTTACTCCTACTCCTGCCACCCTCGTTGCAGGGATGCAGAAATCACTCCTGGCAATGTCGTCCCAAACCAAGATTCCAGTAGCCACCAAGACAAAGTTCCAGGGCCACCAAATAAGACCCAAAAGGCCTCTCCAACTGATTCCCCACGGAGAAGTAGCTGGTTAGTCAAGGTTCCGGAGCGACATAAAAGAAGGAATTCTGCCCCACAGTCCTCTATGCCCCACCATCCACTACGCCCCCACTCTTCAGAGAGTCACAAAAAACAAAGACCCAAACAGGCCTCCAGGCAGACAAACCTTCAGGAAAAAACTCTCCACAGCCTCCTTCCTTCCCCTCCTACCCAACAGGTAGGCTCACCACCCTGTTTAGAAACCCCATTCTATCCTCCAGTTTTACTTTTTCCAAAACACTTATTCACTAACTGATACTCCCACCACTTGTGTAGAGAACCATCCTACCACTTAAGCTTGTTTCTCTCCCCCCCCCCCCCCCCAGGGAATCTTGGTTCCACAAGGATGGGATCGTGCAGTTCCTGGCAGCACAGGCCGCTCAATAACTGGATACAATTCAACAAGTGAACCATTTGGAGGCCCTACTTTGTGCCATGTGCTGGGCACTAGTGGGTGAAGGAATGGAAGGACAGAGTTCTGTGGTTTCAGTCAAGCTTGCCAGAATGAAGGAACTGCCACAGGTAGGAGGCAGTCTGGCAGTAGGACCACACAGAGGCTGCTACCCGCCCTCCTCCTCAACCAGCTCCCTCTATTCATCCCCGGGCCTCCCAGCTCGCGGGCCCCCAAGCCAGCGCTCACCCGCTGCAGCTCCAGCTCGATCTCGCCGGCCTTGAGCACGATGGGTCCGCGCACGGCGTACTCCACCGCCTTCACCTGCGGGTTCATGGACTCCAGCGTGAGGATGCGCTCGCGCGGGCTGCGCTCAGACCGCATCTTGAGCACCGCTGAGGCCTCAGCGGCCGCGCTGCTCTGACTACGGCCCCAGGGGCCGGGGACCCGGGGGCGGTAGCCCCGCCGGACCAGCGCCACCGTCCGCTGCATCGCGCGCCTGCCGTAGGAAACCTTGGCACAAATAGAAAGAACAAACACGTCCCCCACAGCACAGGACCGACCCTCCCTCTCCACTGACCCCCCTAAGCCTCGCCAATGGGCTCTTTTCATCCAGCCATGCCAGCCTAACTCCGCCGCTGCTTATCCAGCTCTCAGTGACTGGCACCCTCCGCCACACCACTGCAACACCGAAGGGCTGCACAGTGGGATTTGCAAAGGCTGCATCCAGAGCGTGCATGCAATGTGCCGGTCGCCGCCCGGCCGCCCTCACCGCGCCGGGCTAAGTCGCGCGCCTGAACTGCTCCCAGGATCCGGCGGCGCCCGCAGCCGCATCCCAGCGCCAAGCCTGCACCGCTCGGCCCAGGTCCTCGCACACCCACCTCTCACGGCTCTGCCCCCTGCCTGCGCGCTACCTTCTGGGTCTTGTAGTCCTTCTGGTTCTCCCAGCGCATCCGCGGAGAGCTAGCGAACTACAAGTCCCACAACGTCTGGCGCTAGCCCGGACGGGGGCCGGGCCGGAGGCGGGAGCGGTTTTCCTCCGGGGCTCCGGACTGGGCGGGCTCTTTGTCCCCGGGGAGAGGATGGAGCACCTTTAGAGGATATAGCAGGAGTTGGGTAGGGGCTGTCCATTCTGCAGCCTTGGTGAGTTAAGAGCTCTTTGCAGCTTCTCCTTGGACTCCCCTTCTGCCTCCCCCACTCTCACTCTCCAACACCTGCAGTGACTGGGACTGCTAGATGGTGCAGTCCTCGCCCAGAGTTTCATCATCCAGGCCACATGGGTGCTGCTGGCTGCTCACTGGCAGCTGGTAGGAAGTTAGGAGTTTAGGGTTTACCCCTTTCTCAACGTCAGTTCCTTGTCAGCAACCCCCCCCCCAAGGGTTATAAGAAAGACCACATACCAAGTAGGTAAGGCTTTTCGCGACCACTCTATGGGAAACCCTCTCCCATCTCGATTACTATTATTTAATTTCCTTCCTGGCATCTAAAATGATCTTATTTAGACACGGTTCGCTGGCTCTTGCTTTACCTCTCACTTCTGTAAGCTCCAGCTTACAGACCAGCTTTTTTTTTTTTTTACATCTATTCCTAGCACATAGTAGGCCCTCAGTAAGTACTGGTTGAAGGATTGCGAACTAATAATAGGGCAGCTATTGTTTCTGGTGAGGGCATCTCCAGGCAGTAGATTCCCTGGCTTATGCAAAGCAAGTGTGAGCAAGACTAGGTAGTGAAACGACAGTAGGAACAGAAGATGTCAGGTCAATGGAGATATCAAAAGAGCAGACCGACAGCGCTGGTGGCTCAGGCCTGTAATCCTAGCTACTCAAGAGGGTGAGATCTGAGGATCATGGTTCAAAGCCAGCCCGGGCACGTCTCATGTCTAACAGACGTAGAGCACTAGTCTTGAGCTGAAGAGCTGAGGGACAGCGGCCAGGCCCAGAGTTCAAGCCCCACAACCAACAACAACAACAAAAGAGCAGACTCATCAAAATCAATAGAACATGGTGAGGAGTCACTTCCCTTCTCTCTGCCTCCCACTCTTCATCTGCAAAATAAATTGGATTAAATGGCCTCTAAGTCCCTTTCTATCGTGCAAATTCTTTGAATTTAAGAATTTGGGGGCACAAAAACAACCCAGAGCTTCCACACTCCAATACATGCGTTCTCATTAGGTTTGTGAAGGGCAAAAGGAACTTAATAAACCCAGCAGTGTAAGGAAGAAGGTGGCAGGATATTTTAGTTTTAATAGAACTTGCATTCAAGATCTAGGGTGTAACTAAGTAGTAGAAAGTTTGCCAGACTAAAGGTTCAACTCTTAACACCACTACAGAAAAAAGAAATGAAAAACAAGCATGTTTCCAGTGACTCATGCCTGTAATTCTAGCAACTCAGGAAGCTGAGATCTAAGGATCATGGTTTGAAGCCAGCCTGGGCAGGAAAGCCCATAGATTCTTATCACCATTAACCAGTAAAAAGCCAGACATAGACGTTCAAAGCCAGCCCAAGCAGGATAGTCTGTGAGACTCTTATCTCCAATAAAAAAAACACCAGAAAACCAGAAATGGTGCTCTGGTTCAAGTGGTAGCGTGCTAACCTTGAGTAAAATAGCTAAGAGGCAGTGTCTAGGCCCTAAGTTCAAGCTTGCTTATAGTCATTTACTATTTATCTCATTGTGAGCTTATCATTTAGCCCTTGTAAGCTACTTTAGCTGTATGTAAAATTGGGATAACAACACTTACCTCATGCATCTGTGGAGGAAGTTAAGGAGACAGCTTTGTAAAAGTCAAGGTTTAAGGTAGAGTGCTTGCGTCACATACAGGAGGCCCAGGTTTGATTCAGCACCACATAAGCAGAAACAAGCCAGAAGTGGCGCTGTTGCTCAAGTGGTAGAGTGCTAGCCTTGAGCTGAAGAGCTGAGGGACAGCGCCCAGGTCCAGAGTTCAAGCCCCACAACCAACAAAAATTAAAAAAGTCAAGGTTTAGGCCAGGCCACGGTGGCTCCAAACTGTAATCCTAGCTACTGGGGAGACAGATCTGATCACAGTTCAAAACCAGCTCAGGCAAAAAAGTCCCTGTGAGACTTTTTTTTTATCTCCAATTAATGACTCAGAAAAACTCTAAAGTGGCCTTGTAGCTCAAGTGGTAGAGGGCTAACCTTGAGCACAAAGAGGCTCAGGGACAGCACCCAGGCCCTGAGTTCAAGCCTTACAACTGACAAAAAAAAAAAAAATCAAGGCTTGGATCATAATGCTATGAGTAACTCTTGTTCATCCTTGACAAAAGAATTTTCTTTTTTTTTTGGGGGGGGGTCCGGTCATGGGGCCTGAACTCTGGGCCTGGGCACTGTCCCTCAGCTCTTCAGCCCAAGGCTAGCGCTCTACCACTTGAGCCACAGTGCCACTTCTGGCTTTTTTCTTTTTGCTTATGTGGTGCTGAGGAATTGAACCCAGGGCCTCAGGCATGCACAGCAAGCACGCTAACACTGAGCCAACTTCCCAGCCCCAACAAAAGAATTTTCTATACTTTGATTAAATAAAGGGGGAAACAAGGTGGAGAAGACAAAAACCAATGACATCTCTGATCTCATTTTAGTGCTCTTACAAAAGTTGTTTAGAGCCAGGCTGGTGTCTCACACCTGTAATTGTAGCTACTTGGGAGACCGAGATCTGAGAATCACAGTTCAAAGCCAGCCCAGGCAGGAAATTCTGTGAGACTCTTGTGTCCAGTTAGTCACCAAAAAGCCAGAAGTGGAGTTATAGCTCAAGTGGTAGAGCAAAAAGAGTACAGGGACAGCACCCAGGCTCTGAGTTCAAGCCCCAAGCCTGGCACACACACACAAAAATAATGTTTGGGCTTCTAATCTGGTAGTTCCCACTACCCCTTCTCAGCCCCAGCACCTGTGTCTTCAGGGTCTACTTCTCACCCTTCGTCTCAGTGGCCTGGTATTCAATCTCTAGTTTAAAGCTTCTCATACAATGATCTTAGCAAATCTAAGTCCCAAATGCCTTCTATGTCATGTTATTACCCATTCTGTTTATTTGAGAAGACACACACATACATTTTCTACCTTTGTAACTCACTCTGATCTATACATGATCTAAATGTATTCCCTTGTTATCTATCTCAGAGTCTGCACTGTCTGCCTTGGTTCATTAGGGACACGAAAGCTGCCAAGTACCTCCAAGAAATGAATACAGTCCATTTACACAACCAGGAAAAACAGTGGCCAGCACACAGGCTACTTGTGTGGATTCCTATGTCATCATTGTAAAAAACAGTGCTCCTAAAATGTCCTCTGCCAGTTTATCTCACAGTGATTACAAAAGCTTAATCCCAGCTACTCAAGAGGCTAAGGTCTGAGGATCCTAGTTCAAAGCCATCCTGAACAATTGTGTGTGAGTGTGTGTGTGCGCAGCACGTGTGTGCGCACATGCACACACACATGCACCCACACTGGTCCTGGGCTAGAACTCAGGGCCTAGATGCTGTCCCAGAATTTCTTTTTGATCATGGTTAGCACTCTACAAGTTGAGCCACAGCTCCACGTTCAGATTTTTGGTGGTTACTTGGAGATAAGAGTCTCAAGGGCTTTCCTGCTTGGGCTGGCTTTAAACTGTAATCCTCAGATCTCAGATCTCAGCGTCATGCATAGCTAGGGTTATAGGCATGAACCACCAGTGTCCTGCCTGACCATATTCTTGACCTCCAGTGAACCATGAAAAATCCCCAATGGAAGTATGTATGGCTCAATTGCCAGACTTGAGCAGGAAAGCCAAGGGAGAACATAAGGTCCTGAATTCAAACCTCAGTACCAGCACAATAAACAAAAGAAGGAAAGGAAAAAGAAAAGGTGAAAAAAGTTTCAGGGGCTGAAAGTGTGAGAGCCTGCCTATCATTCTTGAAGCCCCAAGTTAATCCCCGTATCAAAACAACAACAGGAAAAGAAAGCCCTCTTGTAGCATGTTATTTACTCTCTATTAATTTGCAAAACACTTTCTTGCTCAAAAGAGTAGGCAGTATTATCTCTTCTTTACATAGGCTCAGAGAAGTTAAGCAGCTTGTTCAGAGGGCACACCAGCATATTCTAAGCCTAGAATAGGGAGTATTAGGAACTGTGATTCCTAATCCAGTGCCACAGCAACCCTCCCCCAGCACCAAGCTTGTGTAACTCCCTGAGTGTGGAAATTTGAACTGCCTGTTGCAATGTACTGAAGCTTTAAAGTTTCTGGTGATCATTGCAATGAGTAGTGGTAACAACATGAACTTTGCTTTTTTGCTTTGTAGGTCAGATGGAGGCTAGAAGCTGGATCCTAAATATTAAAGACAAAACTTGACTGAAATGATCAGATGAGAGTTTGAATATACAGTGAATACTACTACACAGTTGGAAAAGTTATGTGTTTGCCACAATGGTATCTTTCTTCTTCTTCTTCTTCTTCGTTTTTTTTTTTTTTGGTCGGTCATGGGGCCTGAACTCTGGGTCTGGGTGCTGTCCCTTAGCTCTTCAGCTCAAGGCTAGCGCTCTACCACTTGAGCCACAGCACCACTTCCGGCTTTTTCTGCTTATGTAGTGCTGAGGAATCGAACCCAGAGCCTCATGCATGCGAGACAAACACTCTACCACTCAGCCACCTTCCCAGCCCTCTATCTTGATTCTTTAGTCCAATAAAGTTGGACACATACCAGGCATTGGGCTAAATTCTGGGATTTCAATAAGTCAGACTGTCCTTCCTTGAATAGAACAGATAGTTTCTTATCAAAATAGACATCCACTAGCTCATCATGAACCCAAACTATGAAAACTACTGGGAAGAAAAAGGATGGTATTTGATTAGAGCTCAGAGAATTTAGC